AAAACACTTTGTCGTGCATCACACCCCGTGTCCTTGTCGTGTCACAGGGTGGACGAAGACGCACGATGATGATAATACACGACACGAAAACGGCCATGGGAGTGACAAGGTGCAACAGGAATACCAAAATATAAGGTACAACAAAACCAAGAAAAGGAGACGGACTACGTGCCCCATGATGAAAATCAAAACCAAAACCAAAACAAATCGGGCTTGGCCTGCCCGTCATCTATCATCGTGTCTACCCTCGTACCCCCCTTGCGTCCCTGGTAGTGCCGCTACTCGGTCGTGTCCATGGCGTCGCCGTCGTCCTCGCGTCCGGACGGCACGGCCGCCGTCTCCGTCCCCGTCCCCGTCCCCGTCCCCGTCCCCGTTCCCGTCCCCGTTGCCGTATTCGTAGCCGCGGCAATCGCTTCCGTCACCGTCGACGCGCTGCCGCTCTCCTTGTTCTTGGCCAGCGCCGCCGCGACGCGGTCGGCCTTCCACGCGTCAATCTTGTCCTTGAGGTCCGTCGCCGGCACCACATCGTCGGCCGTCATCGGCTGCCGCGTAAACGGGTCCTTGGGGTCCGACAGCAGGTGCTGCACAATCGTCGACCGGTCGACAATGTGCCGCGACGGCAGGACCACCGGGTCCTTCATGAGGTCGCCCATAATCGGGTCCTCAAACTCGGCCGGGATCTCGCCCAGGTCCGTCTCGGCCTGGTCGAGCAGCGCCTTGGCCGTGGCGAACTTGGCCCGCAGCGCGTCCCACGCGGCCAGCTTCGCCGGGTCCATGAGGCCCTTGTTGGTCAGGATGCGCGTTGCGCTCTCAAAGATGGCCGGCTTGTACGACCGGCCGTCGTCGGCCACGGCCTCCACGAAGCTGGCCTTGTCGCCGAGGTTGAGGTACAGCTCGACAATCTGCGGCAGCAGCACCTTGGGATTGAAAAAGTACTTTTCCGGGTTCTCCACCTTGAGGTTGCGCGACGCCGGCCCCGCCAGCGTCACCAGGTTGTAGTCGAGCATCCCCGCCAGCCGCGACACAATCTCCGGCATCGTAAACGCCTCGCTCAGCGCCTCCGTAAACAGCTTCATCATCGACACCGTCTCGTTGGCCAGCTGCATGTACGACTGCGCCTGGCTCTCCGCCTGCTTCAGCTCCGTCTCCTTCTGCTGCCGCTCGTCCGGCCGCAGGCCCGCCGCGCTCTGCAGCTCCCGCTGCAGCTCGTGGATCTTGGGGAACCGCGACAGCGCCTCGTCGAGCACGTACGTCGCGTCGTTGAGCAGCAGGTTGACAAACTGCACGAAAAAGGACCGGTTCGTCTTGCTCTGCTGCGTCAGCTGCCGCTTGTACAGGTCGTTGGGCCACACCGCCTTGATCACCTGGAAGATCTCGTAGCGGATGTTGAACTTGTCGTAAAACGCCGTGTGCGCCCCCGTCTGCTCGCACTCAATGTAAAACTTCATGAGCGCGTGCAGCAGGTGCTTGTTGGCAAACGCGCTGTTCGTCAGCGCGTCGCCCAGCACCCCGTTGGCCAGGTGGTACATGCGCCACGTCCCCGAGAACAGCAGCGACACCAGCGACGACTTGAGGTACGGGTTGCGGATGTACTCGGACGACTCCAGGAACGTGATGCACAGCGCCACCATCTCGTCGCCCACCGCCGACGGCAGGATGCGCGGCACGCGCCGGAACAGAAACTTGAGGTGGTCCACAACGTTCTGCAGCGCGTACTCGGGCAGGCAGCTGAACGCCTCGGGCTGCGTCGCCGGCAGCGGGATCTGCAGCTCCTTGTCCGGCGTGTAGTCGGACCCGCTGGCCACGCGCAGCAGCCACACCGACACGTACCGCATGAACATGAGCGCCCGCTGCTGCATCTTCTCGTCGAGCAGCACCGCCTCGAGCGAGTACCGGTACGCCACGTGCCGGTCAATCGCCGCCGTGTACGTCTGCAGGTGCTGCTCCACCAGCGCCATCGACCGGTGCGTGGCCGGCGCGCCCGCCGCCACCAGCTTGCGCTTCTCCTCTTGGAGCATCGCCAGCTGCTCCTCCATGTGCTTGATCTCGCGGTCCATGTCCTTGAACTTCTGGCCCGCCGCGCCCCCGCCGTAGTGGTGCGACGCCATGTTGAGGAAGAAGAGCTCGCTGACAAACTTGGACTCGCCCGCGGCCGTCGTCGCGTAGAAGGCGTCCGCCTGCGCCTGGTCCGCGTTGAGCTTGGTCTCGTCGCTGATGTCGATGCGCGGCTGGCGCCGCAGGTACTCAATCTCGATGCGCTCCATGCGCGAGAAGCTGGCCTCCATAAACGGCTCGCACATGCGGTCGAGCACCGCGCCCACGTTCATCATGAACCCGTCCGAGGCCACCTCCTTGGCGTTCACCTGCAGCGCCCGCCGCTTGTGGTTGACGTTGAGCGCGTACGCGAACCAGTCGAGCAGCTTGTTGCGCGGGCCGTCGCCGGCGCGCGCAAAGGCCATGGCAATGGCGTGCAGGTCGGACTGGTGCTGGTTCAGCGTGAGCTGCAGCGCGCCGTACACGGCCTCCTTGCGCGTCGGCTCCGTCTTGTGCGAGCCGCCAAAGTACGTCTTGGACACCTCGGGCTGCAGCGGCGAGATGCGGAAGAAGGGCCCCAGTATCGTGTAGCGCTCAATGTTGGGCGCCGACTGGGCCATCTGGAAGTACGGGTGCTGGGCGACGGCGACCAGCAGCGGCTTGAAGCGCGTGTACGTCATCATGGCCTCGATGTACCTGGGGTACTCGTCGTCCATGGTCATCGTCGCGAGCTCAGCGCTGATGTCGATCATGGACTTGGTGAAGACGCCCTGCAGTATGCCGTCCTCGTCCTCGTCGAACCGCGCCACAATGTCGGTCAAAAAGTCCATGTCAAGGCTGAGCGGGTCGTCGGAGCGCATGCCGCGGAGGAGGTTTGGCATGAGTGTGTCGTGCGACGGATTTGGTTCGCGACTAAACAGTCAGAGGAAAAGAAACGAAGAAAAAAAAAGAAACAAAAAAGGACCGAAAGGCACGCACCCAAAGAGCTCTGGCATGGTCAGGGCAAACACAATGTTGCTCATGCACAGCCGCTTGATCTCCTGCAGCACGGCCACCCGCTGCGGCACCGTGATGCGTGTCTTGATCTGCTTCGTCACGGTCTTGTAGATGGGCAGCAGGTAGTCCAGCAGCGGCTTCTTGTCCGTATAGGCCGAGCATGCCTCTTGGAAGGCTGCGTCAATGTCGTCCGCCGTCAGCCGCAGCGGCTTGCCACTGGCCGCCACAGCCTCCTCGCCGCCCTCCCGGTCGAGAATCTCGGACCGCAGGTCGTTGAGCAGTGTCAGCGGTGTGCCGTGCCGGTTCTTGGTCTGGCTCGGAGAGACGGTCACGTGGAGGAGGTTCGAGATGGTGGTGTCGGTCCACTCGGCGAGGGCGTCGGCGGCCGACACAGGGTTCGCGGCCGGCGTGGAGGGTTTTGGGCTGGCGATTGGGTGCGCGGCCGACGCCTGCTGTTTTTGTGGCACGCCCGTAGGGGTGTTAGCGGCAAGGGCAAGCCGAGGGCGCTTGGAAGGGGATGCCTCGCGGCCTGCGCTGCGAGAGCGAGCATGGTCTTGGTCGTTACCTGATGAACTGGATGCGGCGGGTTGCTTCGGCGTGATTGTGATCTTTCTTGTGGTCGGGGCGGGTGTAGGCGTCGATGCGGCCGCGGCGGACGAGGCTGGTGACGCTGGCGAGGCTGCGGGTTTGGGAGAGGTGGAGGCGGCTGCACCGTCCTGGGGGGGCACGGACGTGGACGTGGACGAGGACGAAGCTGCGCCGTTGCCAGAGGACGACGAGGCACCGCCGCCGAGCTTGGCCAGACGCCGTGCCCGCATCTAAAACGCTGTTAGTCGAGTCCGTCCAAGGGGCTGTTGGCAGGGAACTTCGACCTTACCTGCTCGGCACTGGGGAGCGTGGGCTCCTGGCCCTCGTTTGGATCCATGTGGGCGATGGTGCGTTATGGAAATGCGGAACTTTGCGGCAGCTCGCAGCTGGACTACTCGACGTCCAGGTTCGAGTTGAAGACAGTGGCCGTGATGCGGAGGACCCGAGAGTGAAGAAGTCGAAACGAGAGTAGTCTTCTGTCGGACCGGACAGCTTTGTTGTGTGAGGGTGGAACAGCTCGTTGGGGTTGTCGTGTGTTGTCCTCCGCTGCAGACGGGCAGACGTCGAACAAGTTGTATGTAAAAGAAAAAAAGCTGCTTTGAGATGAACACGCTGTTCGATGCAAGTTGGTGATAGTGGGTCCTTTGTCCTGTCGGGAAGGAAAGGGGGGTTGTTGCCTGTGAAGAGAAAGAAGGGAAGGTACCTTGGCTTTGGGACCAGTTGTTGCTTCCCTGTCGCGATGCCTTCTCGGAAATGCAGGGCTGTTGGCTAACGGGATGTCGCCGCAGGGTAGCCTAGCTGCAGTTGGCGGTGGTGGTGGTGCCCCGCACCTTTTCTGCTCAGCGGCCTTGTTGCCTCTCAGCAGGCAGCTGTCAGGGTGCTGAGGCGTGTTCACATTGTCCACAGTGGCAGCATTTAGCGATGTTACCGCTGCCGAAATAGGGCGTTTCAGGCCGGCAATACGCCTAATGCTCGCAAAGGGTCCTGTTAAGGCGGTGTGGCTGCAAACCTAGCCTGGCCCAAATTCGCCCCGCCCGCGGAAACTTGGAATCGAGCTTCGGAGAAGCTCACAGAAGAACAGTTGTGCTGTCCGCATTAGTAATGCTTCACTTATAGCCGCCCGTGCGTAACGACGCACATAACGCCAACCATCACCTTAATAACATGAATGTCTACGACTTGAAAAGTAAAAGATGGGTAGTTTGTATTTGTACCATATGGCCCTAGTACGACATACAATCTGGGTCGTATTTATAGTGCCCATGATCCGGCTTTCTGCCCGCACAGCAATGAAGACAATCATGATGACAATGACAATGATGCAACCAAATACAAAGGTAACAATGCTCTTGAGAAAAGACATATTAGCCTCGTATCCCATCTTAAAGCCGCGGGGGATTCTCGCGGTCACTCATGCGGCGTGGCGGCATGGCCGTGTTGTTGGTCGGGGCACGCAACACCGTTGGAGGACCCTGTGGACCGGGGCCGGTGGCTGCTCCATTCGTAGACGGACCGGCTGCAGCACTCGATGCACTCGGCGGCACAGCGGCCGCTCCGCCGCTCGACACGCCGTCGTCGCCGGCGGCGGCGCCCCCACTGCGCAGGCCGACGGATCGTTTCGTGGTCTGGCGGAACGACTCCATCAGCCAGCGCACGTACATGCTGATATGGCCCATGGTGTTGCGCATCTCCAAAATCTGTTCCTTGAGCGGGCCGAGCTCGTTCATGAACATCTGGGCCTGGCGCGCGTCGATTTCGCCGAGGTAGCGCTCGAGGTTCTCGACCTTGGCATCGAAGATGTCAATGTAGGCAACAATGCGGTTCATGCGTTCGTCGCTGTTTGCGTCATCGGACGCAAGCGCTGCCGTAGCAGGAACCAGTGCGCCGTCCGTAGGCGGTGTGCCGGGATGTGGCACGTTGCTGCCGCCACTGTTGTTGCTGTTCGCCGGCGCGAGGTTGTCGCCGGCAGCTGCCATGTCATAGTAGCTGCTGAGGTCCTGGTGTGGTTCCAGCGTAGGCTGTGTCTGGGAGTAGACCTGCCCTTGCAGGTTGGGATGCTGTGACGGGTACTCGTACAACGTTGTTGGCGGTGGTTGTTCGGTCTGTGGTGCTGTAGTTCCTGCCACAGCTGCCGTCGCAGCCAGGGCCGGCGTCGGTGACTGCGCCGGCCGGGCGGCCATCTCCGCCTCCAGTTTGCGCACCCGGTCTTGTGAGTCCTGCAGCACCGTCTCCATGCTGTCCATGTCGGCGCGGTGGGCGCGGTTCATGCGCATAATCATACCGTACAGGCAGGTCCGCTCATGGTCGCCAAAGTCCTTCTTCTTACTGGTAAAGGAACAGCCGGACGCGCGGAACTTGCACTCGATACGGCGCTCTCCACACTCCATAACGTGTGTCCCGTGGCGGTGGCGGGGCACGGCAGCCAGACAGTGCTCGCACATGAGTTCCTTTTGGTTGCAGTCGGCATCGTAGTGGTCGTCGAGCGCGGCGAGCTCGATGGGCTTGCCGCAGTATTCGCAATCGATGGCTTGGTGCAGGCACCGGCCGTCCTCGCTGTCGCGGCGCGTAACCAGCTTGTCGCAGTTGGGGTCGGGGCAGGGGATCTTGGTAAAAGGGCACTCCGTCTTATAGTGGTCCTTGATGAACGCGCGAGCCGACGTGTGGTCGCAGCGCCGGTTGGGACAGCGCACGTGGAGGTTGTCGAGCTGGTTGGAGATGATATGCGGCGCGGGCCGGGCAATCACCGGGCCGTTTCTCGACGAGAAACGCGGCATGGGATTGCGGTCGATGGGGCAGCGATTGCTATGTCGTAGTGACTGCGTCAGGCACTTGGCGCAAAAGATATGGAAGCACTTCGTTATCTGAGGCTTGACCAGCGGCGCGCGACAAATGGGGCAGTCGAGGTTCTCGTCGTATGTGCCAATGTATTCGAGAGTGTGCCAGTCGAGCTTGGGCGTCTTTGGCCGGCGACGTTCCGGTCGTGCCGCGGGCGTCACGGGCGTCACGAGTGTCACGGGTGTCGCAGGTGCAGCAGGTACCTGTATCTCGAGCTGTGGTGCACCGCTCCGTCCGCTTGCTCTGCTCCCGCTGCCACTTCCGTCTCCATCGCGTAATCGTCGCAGCATCTCCAACGGCCGACCTGCCTCGCCTGTTCCTGTTCCTCCCGTTGCTGGCCAGGGTATGCTGGGCGGCGATGGAAGCCCTTCTTCTGTGTGGTCTTCTGTGTTCGAACTCGAGATGGAGTAGTTGGTGTTCCATGGACGGCCTGGAAACCTGCCGCGTTCCGCCACGTCATTCGTATATCCACTGCGCACGTCCGCGCTCAGCATGTCCATGTTGAGTCGTCGGCCGTCCACCGCAGCAGCGCTGGTGTTGGCTTCGTCTCCTGAACGCCCGGGGTGTCCGGGGCCAATGGTGCTAGGCGAGGGCGAGAGGGCGATGTGGCCCATCAGTCCGCGTAACACGTTTGGTCGGGACGGCAGCGAGTCTTGGCTGTCGCGGCTGTGGCTGCTAGCCTGGCCGGTGCTCATGCGGCGCTCTATGCTGTTGCGTCGGCTCTCGCTCTGGCTGGTATTGGGATGCGAGTCCAGATCAAGGACACCGCCGGCCTCGTCGCTCTCGGCAGAGTCTTCATCGTGTGGAGGCAGGTTGGGGTAGCGCCGTGAGCGATTGCGGCCGGCGTTGTGGACAGCAGTGCGGTACTCGTCGGCAAAAAACTCCTCGGGTGTGTTGGGCGGCGGCATCGTGACTGGTGCTGAATGAATCAAAGGGAAGAAGAAAGAGAGAGGATGCGCGTCACAGCGCGGAAGGATGGCGGGCGTCGCAGGACCCCCTTGCGCAGTTCGACGGGACGATGTAGCGGTGGAGGATGGAGGGGCAAGCGTCGCTGGCTCCGTCTGCTGCCTTTTGCTTGTGATTGTGCGGGTCGTCGGAACGCGATGTCTCGTCAAGTCGTCAGAGCTGGTGAGTGCCACGGAGCCAAAGCGGCATCGCGACGGTCGTGAGGGATCTGTGACAAGTGCAGAGGCGTAGAGACTTACGTTCGATACGACGGCGGGCTTTTCTCTTGTTAAGAATGCTTGGCGTGGGTTGTTTGGGAGGCGTTCGGTCTAACACCGAGGCTTTGGGGCCAGAAGTGGACGAAAGAAAGGAACCAACGCGCCAATGATTCGCTATGGTGAACTGTAGCGGAGACAGGGTGCCACACTGTCCTGAGTTGTGGGGAAGCGTGACAAACTAACCACTAAAGATGAAGAGGACAGCGTACAGGCTGTGGGTCATGTTGATGCGATGGTGATGGTGACGGAGATTGAAAGAGAAAAGCGTTTTGGTGAGATGATGCAATTAGATAATGGATAGAGGCTCCGTATGTTCATAAACTGTTGGGAAAGTGCATCTGGTGACCAGTTGGGAAAGAGCATTGAGAACAGATGTCCGTGCCGGAGGCAGGAGCTCTGGTTGGGTTTGACGTAGTCGGAAGCATCTCATTGGTCCGTGCGATCGCATTTGCGTCACCGAGATGACACAGCGGAGCACGTGACTCTGTTTGGATTCAGATACCGCCACAGTATGCCTGAGATGCACGTCGCCTTGTTCGACGAGGAACCTGTGGATTGACGTGTTGCATTGCATTTTGCTTAATGTAAGGGGGCTATATTGTCCTTGATTATATGTGTTGTTCAATCGGTAGGTTAATGAAGCATAGTTGACTCTTGTTTGAGGATAGATTGCGGTTTATAAAAGCTCGATTTATTTTTACATATCGAACACATTATATGCAATATTCCTTTTTAAATTGTGATTCAATTTCTACTACCCCCTTTTTTTTGCAGTAGTACGAATATATATTCATAGTTGTTGATCTGCTCGGCCCAAATACTAAGCGTGCAAGTGTATGTGTGTGTGGTGTATCATATGACTATCCTTGTTGTGCCCGACCCTTCTAGTACAGTTGTTGATGTCCACCTCTGCCACACCGTTGCAAGACGAATTACCTCGTCAACCACTCCATCGCCTTGTCGACCTCCTCGGCGGTGCCGCATACCAGGCCGCCCCGCTCGTCTGTGTCGGCCAGCGGCGTGTCCAGCACCGGCTCGCCCGAAACGGGATCAACGGCCTTGCCACCCACGGTCTCGAGGACCAGCGCCACCGGACACAGTTCGTAGAGGCGGCGCAGCTTGGCCTTGCTGGCGGCGGTGACGGGCGACAGGTAGATGCCGTGGCGCTTGACGAGAATGTGCACGAGGTCGGGGACGAGCCCGCCGGCGTAGCGCAGGGTGTACTTGCTGGCGATGTAGTGGGCGATGAGGTCGCCATACGGGGTGAGCTCGGCGGAACAGCGGATGTTGGCGGGGGCAAAGTATTTTGTGCGGGCCTCGGCGGCGGAGGCGAGCGTCACTTCGGGGTGGACAAGCTCCCAGACGCCCGTGGCCGCCGCATAGCCCACGTCGATGCACACGGGCTTGGCCGCGCCCGGAACGCGCAGGGCGATGAGGGCGGTCGTGCGCGGCCCGTAGACACCCAGCACGGATGCAATCTGGGCGTCGGCTGGGCGCGAGCCAATGGCGGTGGCCCCGTCCCAGACGCCGGCAATGGTGCCGACGGTCCAGTTGGGCGCAATGATGGAGCTGCCGTCGAGCGGATCAAAGGCCACGGTGTAGACCTCGGACGAAGACGCAGACACGGACGAGATAGGCCGTTCAGTCGGGTCCTCTTCGGAACTGGCCGTGGCGACTGTGGGGCAGCGAGCGAGTGCTTCTCGAATCAGATTCTCGGCCATCACATCGACGTTCAGCTGGTCGTCGCCAAAGGCGTTGGTGCCGCCGGCAAGGGCAACGTGGTGCGCATCGCCGAGGGCCGAGGCGACAGCGGCGATGCTGTCGAGGAGTGCGGGCAGCACCGAGGTGGTGAGGGCGGTGCGGTCGGTGGTGGTGCCGGATAGGACCTCTTTGAGGTGCTGCACGACGCTAGACGTACTGGATGACATTGTGGCGTGTGTGACTGCGCATGTCAAAGCGTCGTTGGAGTTGTCAGTGAGGGATATTATGTGAAGCTTTTGGGGATTTTTGGGGATTTCATGCCCCACTTTCGCGGACGCCAAATGGCGATGTACCAGAACACTGTGACGAGGGCATGAAAGCAACGCAAATGTGAATCCAAATATCACGTACTCCATTCTGAAATGATCCAAAGCTCATAAAAGACAACAGGAGCCTCATTGCAGCAGTTGTGTCTGATGCTCTATACGGCTGCCGTTATGATTCTTTTGCTGGTCGCCTCTCCCCGAGATGACGTCCTTATCGACGATGTGGGCAAGGTCAACAACAGCCTCTAACGAGGCCCATGGGACATTCCAAGGGGCTCCGACTGTGCCTTTTGCGCTCCGACTGTGCGTAGCCATGACATTGCCTATTTGGGAAAGGTCATCTGCTTCCGACACTGCTATATAAACAGACAGAGGGAAGAGAATTATCAACATGCAACGTTGGACGTCAACGTCAACACTACTCTATCTTGGCTGTTCTTAGCCAACTGGATTCTAGCAGATCCCGCGCGCATGGTCTGTTGTGCGGCTCCAGATCCAGCATGCTTCGCACAACGGCCACAAAGGCCTCTCTGTCGTCTTTGCTTCCGTCGCCCTCACCAAAAGCACCACTGCCAGCGCACAGATCCTCGAGCGCAAACGACGGGAAGGATATGCCGCTCTCGAGCCGGTCACGACGGCTGGCACGGGACAGCAGCGTGTCGGGCATGCGCCCCAGGATCGCCTGCATCTGCGCCAGGTGCGCCTCAGACGAGTACGCGGCTGTGGCGGTGGCTTGTCCGTCGAAGCACAGCTGGCCCGTCGTCAGCTCCCATATCTGCAAGCACGGTTAGTGTCAGTACGTGTTTGTGATTGTCCGCGGGCGATATTGATACGCACAACGAGGCCCAAGTTCCAAATGTCGACCTTGCTGTCCCAGGCAGCACCGAGAATGACCTCGGGCGCCCGCAGCTTGTCCGGCTGGATCCATTCGGAGAGGTGCTTGGTCGTCCAAGAGGCTTTTGATGGTGAGTGTATGCACAATGGTACGGAGGGAGATTTCTGGGTTGACAGGACGCACCAGTACCGAAATCGGCGAGGCGGAATGACATGCCTGAGACAGCGGCTGCGGCTGTCAGATCCTCGTGCGCCGAAACCACTGGCTCCGACGCCATGTAGTAGTCGTGCGGCGACGGTAGTGGCGCCGATTGTTGCTGGAAGACGTCAGGCGGCGCATGCTGGAACATATCGTTTGTCTCGGCCGTTTCGACTAGAATGTTTGTCGGTTTGATGTCTTGATGGGTTAGTACGCGCATTTCTCACGATATACCTTTGAGCTGGTATGGGACACACCCGTGTGGATAACTCCGCATTCGTCGTGAAGAAACGCGAGCGCCGTCACAAGGTCCCGTGCGACATTCTTCGCCATGGGTACAGGAAGCCGGCGGCGCGGAAACAAGTCTCGGAGCTGGCTCAGGTTTGGCCCCATGGCTTTGAATACTAAACATACGTGCTGGCCGTTTGGACCGTCGTGCTTGAACGTGTCGAGGAGCCCAAGAACATGTTTACCTCGCGGATCTTTTCGATTTTCTTGCTGTCCTTGATATGCTTTCTGTTTGTTGACGATGCAGTCCAGTATGGCAAGCTCGTATGAGTCCTTTTTGCCATCGTACGTATCTGCTGTCAAGATTTTGAGGGCGACGATTTGCTTCGTCCTAAAAACAACGAGTTAATTCAACTTGTCTATATCGGCTACAGTCACGACAAATCCTGTCACGTACTGTGTATTGTGAGCCAGCCAAACAGTCGAATACACCCCGAACCCAAGTTTTCGTAGCACACGGTACTTTCCGTTGTCAAACTTGTCCCCGATGCGGACCGGGTGGAAGCCTCCCGAGGCATATCGTGCTATGTTTTCTTCGGACATGCTGCGCGTTGTGCCTCTGTTGAGCGAGGTACTAAATGACACATACGTCCGACATGGTCCGCAAGGCCTGTAGCTACGCCCAAGCGCCGACTGGAGGTGACGAGACAGAAGTGGCGACATTGTGAATGGGATGTTGGAATGCCGGCCAACGTAAACCTCGCGACGCTCTGTACGTGCACTTTGTGACGAGGATACATGTAACAGTGGATTGGATTTTATGTAAGCAGGATCGGTGTCCCCTGAGAGACGCATGCGGATTGGTTGATTGATTGGCTACGGTGCATTCTGACTTATGCAGGTACTATGTGCGAGATGCAGAACAGTGGCGCGTATTGTCGTCGTTATCAGGATTTCCATGGACTATATGTTGCACGCAGCACTTTCGTATCGGTGTCCACCCGAATCTAGATTGATTGTATAAGGCAAGACGGGACAGCATGCGACAATCCAAGCGACGTCTGTGCAGTCTAGCCTTCTTCCCGGAAACGAAGAGACGTCTTATGATGGTTTGATATTGTGTGGACGTCGACCCGACTCATCTCAACACATGTCCTCGCCCGCTTCCCGTCATCCATCCAACAGACATGCAATCAAGAGCATTCGTCACCGCCATCCTGCCACGTTCTTTGTGGTTTATTTTGGTGGTTTGGTGTTTGCTGATCGGCGGGACGAGTGGCACGTTCTCCGCCCAAAGGGATTGATCCGGCGACCACAGCCACTCAGAAAGGACACACAAGACGGGACAGGCTGCAGGTACATATGATTGTGCCTGGGTCGACGGGGGTCCGACGAATGGTAGCGAGCACACGTTTGTCTGGATGCAGTAAATTGCAGCTGTCTTCTTTGCCCGCAAATTTAGCCGTCGCACGAGAAATTGCGTGGTCGACGACAGACGGACAAAAATAAACAAAAGGTTCGCGGAGCTAACTGGTTTCCTGAAAAAAAAGGGGGCCGAATAAATGACGATCCGAGAGTATGGACAGTGTTGGACATGCTTCTTGTGAGATAAAACGGACAATCACCGCCACTTGCTCGTCATTGTTATGATGACTGTTGCTTTCACCACGCCCTATCACGGCCCACCATCAGTATGCACACGCTGTCCACTCTTGTTGTTGCCGGCCTGGCGGCCGTAGTTTCTGCGGCCCCCGCGCCGGCGGACGGTTTCCGGCTGACGGTCGACACGGCCACGACGTACCAGACGATTGACGGGTTCGGGTTCAGCGAGGCGTTCCAGCGCGCGCACCAAATCATCGACCTGCCCGAGGCCACGCGGGCCGCGCTGGTGGACCTGCTGTTCAACGCGACGTCGGGCGTCGGCTTCTCGATTCTGCGCAACGGCATCGGCAGCAGCCCCAACAGCACGCAGGACTGGATGAACACGATCGAGCCCGACGCACCGGCCGGCGGGCCCGCGGGGGCGCCGCACTACGTGTGGGACGGCCGCGACTCGGGCCAGTTCTGGGTGGCGCAGCAGGCGGCGGCGTACGGGGTCAAGACGTTTTACGCGGACGCGTGGTCGGCGCCCGGATTCATGAAGAACAACAGCGACGATGCGGGCGGCGGGTACCTGTGCGGCAGCCCGGGCGCGCCGGTGTGTGCCTCGGGCGACTGGCGCAAGGCGTATGCCGAGTACCTCGTGGAGAACGTGCAGCTGTACAAGGTGGGTGGAACGACGTGCGGTTGTTTTCCAGGCAAGGGTGACGCGCGCTGACTCTTCAACAGGAGCACGGCATCCACATTACACACCTTGGCTTTTTGAATGAGCCCGACTTGACGTGAGTTTTTCTGTTTTCTGTTGTCTCCCCACATCCGATGGCAACGCGTCACCGAGTCTCACATCATGCAGGACTGCCTATGCCTCGATGCTGATGGACGGCGCGATGGCGGCCGACTTCATCAAGATTCTGCACGCGGTGCTGGCCGCGCACGGCCTCGAGAAGCAGGTGCACATCGCCTGCTGCGACGCCACGGGCTGGGCCACGCAGCGCAACATGTCGGACGCCATTCTGCGCGACGCCGACGCCGCGCCGCTCGTCGACGTGTTCACGACGCACCTCTACACCTCCAAGGTCGACGCGCCGCTGCCGACGCGGCCGCAGCAGCCGCAGCACGCGTGGATGTCCGAGTACGCCGACCTCGGCGGCAACTGGTCGACGACCTGGTTCAACGCCGCCGCGGCCGCCGCCAACGACACCGACGCGCTGAAAGGCGACGGGCTGACGTGGGCGCAGCACCTCCACACGGGGCTGACGACGGGCAATCTGAGCGCCTTCTTGTGGTGGGTGGCCACGCAGGACACGCAGACCAACGGCAACAACAACGAGAAGCTCGTGCTCGTCGACCTCGCGGCGGGCACCTACACCGTGGCCAAGCGGCTCTGGGCGTTTGCGCAGTTCAGCCGGGCGGCGCGGCCGGGCGCCGTGCGTGTCGCCGTCAAGACGACGGGCGTCGACGGCTGCGTGGCCAAGGGCGCGTCGCCGCTGCGCACGGTTGCGTTCCACAACGCCGACGGCAGCGTGTCCGTCGTCGCCATCAACGACGGCGCCGTGGACGTGTCCATCAGCGTGCGCAGCCGCGTCGCGAATGCCGTCTCGGCCGAGGCCTGGGCGACGGACGAGACGCGGGACTTGGAGCCGGTGGCGGTGACGGTCGACGCGCGCGGCGACGTGACGGCTGCTGCGGTCCCGGCACACGGCGTCCTGAGCGTGATTGTTCGTGTGTAGGTTGGTGGGTGGATGTGACGGTCCGTGGAAGGCCAGATAGTACGATGTTTGCTGTGACGGAGCGGTCCTCTTCGCTGTATGAATCTAATAGTATTATTTTGTCTTTGCAGGACACGTGTATAAGACGATATCATGATTTCTTTGCCAAATGACGAATGCCCAACGTCGCTGAAGACGTGACTTCGGCCGTCTCGGCCATCACAATGTGGATATACACGACATGGACACGGACCACAGACAGCGCATTTGTCCTATGTGATGCGAGACGACAGAAATAAATGAGAGAGTGGCTAGAGAGGGTACCACGGCTCGGATCACTGCCTAGCCGGGCCTGTGGACCTGCAGTAGGGCGATGGGGACGAGGATAAACCGACACAAGGCCAAAACGAGAACCCTGATGGCGACCTTGATGGGCCACGGCAGCGGTGAGACGGGACTTGGGGACGGCGAGCACGTCGTATGGATCGTTTGTGGGCGGTGAGGATGTGAGGATGTGACAATGACCATACTCTTTGCGGATTCCAACGCCCGTCGACCAGTCGCTTGACTTCTCTGCACAGCTTGTCATCTCAGATCCTGGATGCTGTGTCCCGGTCGACGCCGTTTGTCATTGGTTTGTCTGCCTGTCGTTTGATGGCATGGTCGATCTCGCATATGAGGGACGACGGGTGATTTCGCGTATTGAAATTGCTGTTTTCTGTGCCCTGCTTGTGCTCTGCTCTGTGTTCATCTCGGTACTGCATGGTGCCGGCAGTCGTCGATGCACCGCCAACGAGTAGTCAGGGGTACAGAGCTGCAAGGGGAGAGCTATTTCGCCTGCTGACGTGTGGTCGATGCATCTGGACATGCGACAATATATTTGACGTCTTCCCAGCGTCTTTCCAGACGTTGCTCGGCATACTCGCTGCTCGATACTCGATACTCTTTCCCCGTGTCTGGACAGAGGTGCCTGTTTCTGTTGTCGTGATACCACCTTCATCGTCCGCCTCTTACCTTTCTGTTTTGCAGCCCACATATTTAAAATGGCCGACAACTACACCGTCGGGGCCACGCGCTCCGACAAGCCCACCAACACGCCCTCATCCACGTCGGCACTCATCGCCACCAAGTTCACGACGACGGCGATCCGCAGCAAGACAAACCGGCACGAGTCGCCGCAAAAGGGCATTTCTGATTTCTGGTCGGCCTTCCACGCACGGAAGCCGGGCAGGATCACGTCGATATTCCCGCGGCGACTGTACGAGCAGTGGGGCCTGCAGCCTGCCCAGGATGTCGTGGGATGGACTGCCGCGACGGTGGCGGGTGTTGCAGATGTGAGCACGCCCGCAGCCTCGTCCTCCTCATCGACTTCCTCGACCTCGTCGGTCTCATCATGGGCGGCTGTGTCGGCTCCGTCGACGCCCGCAGAGCCGTCGCCAACGCCGACGACATCCTATGAGGCTGCCGCAGCGGCTTGCCGTGCCGCCGTGGCCCGCATCGTCAGCGCGTGCCACCGCACGAATGAAAAGTTCACGGACCCCGAGTTCAACTTGGAGGACGACCCCAACCAGAACTGTCTGCGCGGCCTGGTGCGGCGGCGCGCGGCGGACGGCGGGGAAGAGAATGCGCTGCATCCACTGCACACACCGCCGGCGGTGCATCGCGTGGACTGGATCTTTGAGAAGCCGGTGTTTGTCAAGAACGGACGCGAGCGGAGTGAGGACACCAGCGAGCGCAGCGAGGACAGAAAGACAAGCGAGCGCAGCGAGGACAGAAAGACAAGCGAGCGCAGCGAGGACAGAAAGACAAGCGAGCGCAGCGAGGACAGAAAGACAAGCGAGCGCAGCGAGGACAGAAAGACAAGCGAGCGCAGCGAGGACAGAAAGACAAGCGAGCGCAGCGAGGACAGCGGCTTCTCGTCGTCCGACGTGCAGCAGGGCCGCGTGGGCGACTGCTGGTGGATCGCCGCCGTGGCAACGATGGCGCACCGCACGGACCTGATGCGCCGCGTGTGCGTGGCCCGCGACGAGCGGTGCGGCGTCTACGGCTTTGTGTTTGTGCGCGACGGCGCGTGGACGCCCGTGGTGGTCGACGACCAGCTGTACGTGCACCACGCGGACTTCCGCGCCGAGACGTACGACGCGTCGGGCCAGCGCGCGCGCGACCACCGGCAGCGGTTCCAGCGCGGGTCGGAGGCGCTGTCGTTTGCGCGGTGCGCCGACGCCAACGAGACGTGGCTGCCGCTGCTGGAGAAGGCGTTTGCCAAGGCGCACGGCGACTACGGCGCGCTGGCGGGCGGCTGGTGCAGCGAGGGCATGGAGGACCTGACGGGCGGCGTCAGCACGACCATACCGGCGAGCCGCGTGCTGGACAAGGACCGGCTGTGGCGGGAGCTGGCGGGTGAGGCGGGCGGGATTGGCGACGACGGCGGCGGGCGCAACAGCGACTTTGTGTTTGGCCTGTCGGTCATGGGCTGTGGATGCGCCGGCGCCAACCACAACGGCCTCGCCGTCAACCACTGCTACTCGGTGCTGCGGGCGGTCGAGGCCCCCTCGGAGGACGGCGCCGCGACGGTCCGCCTCGTCCAGATCCGCAACCCCTGGGGCCACCGCCACGAGGCCACGCACATGGGCGCCTGGCACGGGCCCTGGGCGGACGGCGCCAAGGAGTGGACGCCGTACTGGCTCAAGACGCTAGGCCACACGTTTGGCGACGACGGCGTGTTCTGGATGGCCTTTGAGGACGTGCTGGCGACGTTTGGCTACCTGCACCGAACGCGCCTGCTGGACGACGCGTGGACGGCGGCGGCGCCGCTGTGGACGTCGTTGCGTGTTGGCTGGGTCGCCGGCTACGCGGACACGACCTTTGCCGTCGACGTGGAGGCGGCCGGGCTCGTGGTGGTCGTCCTGTCCCAGCTCGACGACCGCTACTACCGCGGCCTGCGCGGGCAGTACACGTTCACGCTGCGCTTTGTCCTGCAGTCGGCCGACGGAACGGTCCTCGCCAGCGCCCATGCGCCCAACGCCCAGGAGACGCGGTCTGTCAGCTGCGAGGTCGTTCTTCCCGCCGCTGGGCGGTACACGGTGCGCCCGCACATCACGGCCCGACGGGACCGGCGCAGGCTGGCAGAGGCGGCCGTGGTGCGCATGACGGCCGAGACCAACCCGGCCAAGCTGCGGCAGGTCGGGCAGCAGTACGATGCGGCGCACGCCAAGGGAGGCGATGTCGTCGACGAAGACCAGCGGCTGGAAGACCGACGGGTGCGCAACGTGGCGAGGGTGCGGGCGCGCAGAGCGTGGCACAAGGCGGAGCTGACGCGGCTGCGCGCGGCGCGCGTGGCGTGGGTGGCGGCGCGAGAAGAGTTTCGACTGCGGCGCGAGAAACAGATGCACGACGTGGCCGTGAAGGAGACGGAGAAGGACGACAGGGTTGACCAGGACAAGGACAAGGACAGCAAGGACGGCGAGGACAGCAAGGACGTTAAGGACGGTAAGGCCCTCCCCGACGTCGACCCCGGCCCCGAACCAGTGGCCTTTCCCGAACCCAGCTTTTCCGACAGCGAGCTCGACGCCGACGACAGCGACGACATACTGGACGACAGCGACGGCGAAATCGTTGCCATCGATCTGCGCAAGACCATGGGTAAGAAAGGATGGCCGTTTGTCGAGGGCGACGACAGGGGCGGCGACAAGAACGACAAGAGCGACAAGCAAAGTGACGACGACAGCCACGCCGACGACGACGACTCGCCGTGGAATGCCGTCTGCATCGTCGGCCTGCGCGTGTACGCGAAAGAGCCAGGAGTCTCCGTCGGCCTGGTGAAGCCAGAGAAGACAACTGTGGGGGGCACAAACACAGATATGAGATAGGTAGCAACCGTAGAAGAGACAGGAATTCGTTTCTAGCCACCGCTTGGATTGTTGACACATTTCTGCCTATATTCCCAGCCGGCCAGAATCTGCTCCAGACACGCCTGTGCCTGCTTCCTGATGGCCTCGACTTGCTTCTTATCATTTCGTCCCAAGACGCTTTCGTATAGACCTGTTTGTGGGGAGCACTTATGTCGGTGCTTGGGTCTCACCAGTTTGGCGGACCGGGGCTTTTGCTCGTAAACCGCTCCATGTTGAAGACTGTTTGAACAAATACTATACATAACGAACACAGAGCCACAGGAAAACGGAGCAGTTTTCGATAAAGGATAATCATGCGGCGTATCAGTCCGCCCCATACGCACCAATCACTCTGCAATCCATATGGGACGAATTACGCCCAGCAACCTATCCGTCTTTCAGACAACAATCAAATGCCCTCATTAGAGGATGCCATACGAGGCCATGGGATTGGCTCATCGCCTGCCGACGAGTGTCGCATGGCTTAGCCACAATCGTTCGTCGTTTCCTGGGCATATAGAAATCTCAGCCACCACGAGGTCATGCATTGCCTCTGTGCAGCTTGCGTGATCGTGGGGGCCATAAACCAAACGTGACATGCTCGTCTTCTTCAAGTGTACCGTGGCGGCCGACACGGGCGGGGTAAGCCGCGGGGCATTTGAGGCAACTATGGACCGGAGCATACTTCATGTTTCTTCTCATGTTGAGATGCTTTTATCTCCAAATAGTGCACATCTCCACAACGTGGCAATACAATTTAGATACTGCTGTTACAACGCTCGTAAGTAGGATTCCGCTGGGAACATGGGGTTTGCCTTTGCTGACAACATACCTGTAGATTGTGTATATTCACACAGCACAAGCATAACGAGTCAAAGCCTCTGTCTACGATGTCCTACCAGCGCAGTACCTGCACGCAATTTTATATTCACTACACTTGTGGCCATGATAAGAACAGCGAATTTGTAAAGTGCCCGGAGCATGAAAAAAAGGGAGGCCAGTGCAGTGTTCTCGATAGAGTGGAAGAAAAGACGAGTACGCATGCATGCGCCGAGTGTTATTATCATTAACGAACACATGGAATGGGTATGATTCTCGTGGTTAGCGAAGGGCCAGCATGGACTTTAACTACCAAGGACGGCCGGCTCCCGACTCGTCGGCTAGTTTAGCTTCTAGAATCTTCGTCTCCGCGTCTCGGGCACTGCTGCTCCAGGCATCTGTACCCTGAAGCACCGAATCTTCAAAATCGATAAATTTGGGTCCTTGCTGCGTTACCACAATGTTGTACTTGACAAGGTCGCCATGGATCAGGTAGTGGTGAAGGGTATCGAGCGCGGTCTTGCACGCCTCCAGATCGCCGAGATTGGGAACGCGCCCCTCGAGCTTTCCCGCCAAGAAGCCAATGACGCGGTCCGCGTGTGTCTCGTACACATAGCCGACGAGCTTGGCGGTGACAGGGCAGTCTATCAGGCCATGATAGCTCTGGAGTTCTTGGATGACATATGGGATCTCGTGGGGAAAACGTGCAATCTTGAGAAAGTACACATTGCCGTCGATCTCGACCTCGGAGGTGCGCGACTTGTGCTTGCGAACAAGGCGGAGGCTTTCAAAGCGGTAGACGGGGTATTCGTCGAGAAGATACGTCTTGGGAACGGAGGGGACAGGGGTCCTGTCGAGGTCGCAGCGCGTCGTTCCCTTGCCCACATGGATCGTGAGGGTCGTCCAGGGCGTGTTCCACTCGTCCAGTTTCTCCAGTTCGGCCAGGACCGTGGGGCCGTGGTTACGGGCGTGCCCGGGAAGAAAGTCTTCACCAAAGACGGCGACGTAGACGATCCCCCGATCAGCTCGCTGTATCCTGTAGAAGGCGTCATTGTCCCCAGACTCGACTGACAACATGAGATTCATGATCACTGCAGAGGTAGTGAGGCGAAATTGTATGGTATGAGGGCAATGACTCAGATGGTAGGCAGAGTCGTTCCCTAATGTATTATGGATAGACTTAACAGTCGACGCGGTAGTCGACTCGCACACAGAAAATGGTGTCCAGCTCAGTTCTTGTCTCATTATAATGTTTGTGAGTTGTCTCATAAAAACAATGAAATAGTGGAGCGGAATAATTTTAGTGCGATTTTAACACTCCACAGGGAGTCGATTACTACCTGTCGCCGCCTGTCACGTATTTTAGTGCTCCCCAGGGTGCAGCGGAAACAAACACACAAGTCCCGAGAACGACAATGTGCAAGTCCACCTATGGTTATAACACTCCGAGGCTTCGTCCGCACCGACAACTCATGAACAGCACATGCCTGCCCCGCGCCTGTAAGGACGATTTTGCGACCTGAAGTTCTAATACGGAATACAATGCGAGGGTGGCTGAAAGGGCGGTGTGCGACATGGTTACACGACCTTCACAACTGCTCACAGTCTCCTATTTGACCGAGCATTGAAGTCCCGTAGGTCAACAGCCTCGATTTGTTTCCCTCTTTTCGGTCAACAGTGACCCTGTCGTTGTTATACGATTTACTGAGTTGATATTGATCTCCAATGGCTGTGGAGATGGCGGCTTAAACCAGCCCTGCCATATCGGGGAGATCGGGAGGCTTTGGTTGCCGACGGGAAGACGGCGCCAACGCCAACTAACTATTGGGGAAATGTGACCATGACCTCCTCCCCGCTGGAGACGGAAATAAAGAAATGAGCAGTAGAATCGTCGATGGTGTCCGCCGACGGCCGCTGTTGCCAGACGTTTGGGGCCCGTGGTTCTGAGCCGACGTTTGTCATCTTGTCCGTGGAAGTGCCTGGTGCTCATACTAGACGGAAATACTACCCGTGAAGCACTCGGTGCGGCGTTGAGAGTATACGTATTGAGCTGGCATAGATTGGATCGTCACCATGACTTCACATCCTGTTTTATCCGAGGCATGTGAGTATGCCACTACATTCAATGAGTGATTGTTCACTGACAACAACGTGCAGCTCAACGATGCTTTTCTCTTCATCGAGAAGGGGCACATGGACGGCGCCTGTGTGACGGCCCATGGCACGACGGCCTCCTTTGTTCAGCCCACCGTCTTGACCGACGTCATGTCTGACATGCGCATCGCATTGGAAGAGACATTCGGTCCTGTGGCCGGTGTCTTTCGGTTCATGACCGAGGCCGAGGTGCTCGATCTCGCAAATGGCACGGAGTTTGGCCAGGCCGCATACGTCTTCAGCCGAGACGTGCATCGGGCGAGGCGGGTGGCTCGGCCGCTGGACGCTGGTATAGCTGGCCTCAACACGCGCGTCATCAGCGATGCGGCGGCGCTATTCGGCGGTGTCAAGTCAAGCGGGTTTGGTCAGGAGGGCAGCAAATACGGCATTGAGGAGTACATGATGGTCAAGACCATCATACTGGGTGCCAAGAGGGTGCAGCGTCGTTTGTAGGGGAGTCAATTCGAAGATTCAGTTCTATGGACGTCAGAAGATGATTGAGAAGGGGTAACGCAGTTTGCACCTTCCTGGATGCCGTTCCTTCCGTTTGTTGCTGTGACGGGCGCCTACTCTTTTTGTCGTTTGTGGTTCTCTACGGCAAGTGCAAATCAGTTGTGCTCATTCTAGAATCTAATTGGCTTGTTATAGTTATGATAATGTCAAGAGAAATCAAACTCATACTTTTAATATGAGACATGACAAATCTGAAAGCGCAACTTAATAAAGGGTATAAAATAAATACAACTATATCTGGTTGTTTTCTAACGTCGTGATACAAGCAGCACCTGTTTCATACACTCATACATTGCTACAAGGGCGCGTGTACATCATTAAGTTGATGGACGAGCCGCCGCCCAGGATGTGGGCACAGGGCACGACCGCCTTGCGCCCGGCGAGCCACTTGGAGGGCCGCGACTCGTAAAAGGACGCCGTCTTGGAGTCAAGTTTCATGTTTCGCGCGGGTAGATGCCCGGCCGGAAGACCCAGGGGTTGTTGAGGTTGCTCTCACCGGCCTCGACGAGGAGCACCTTGAGGTTGTGGTCGAGGTTCGCCAGCCGGCCCGCCACGACGCAGCCGCAGCTGCCGCCGCCGCAAACAATAATGCCATATTCGTCGGGGAGACTCATGATGACGGTGGTCAAGTGCAGTCAGTTCAAGATATGAAAGGTGCAGTGTCAACAGGCAAGGCCAAGAGAGCCTGCTTTCTGGGTGGGAAAGAAAAAAAAAAAAGACAAGCCCAGTTGACAGGACGAAGGGACTTATTTATACACATTTTACACTCGTAGTGGTATTGCTGATGGCTGTCGACGGCTTGTCAACTCGGCCATCGAATTCACTTGTTGTTTTGGCCGTTGCCTTGCCTGTTGGTCTTCACCTCTTCCTTGACGTCTTCCCCGCCCTCTCATCTACCGCCCGGTGCATCTCCATTGCCCTTTTGACAGGTTTCGTGGTGTCATCCGATGCACAACGGACTCGGTGAAGATGAGAGCGAAGGAGGAGAATGAAGAGGGGAAAGATGGTGCAAAGAGGTAGAAACAGAGGTGTCGATACACAGTCGCTCACCGCACGCTACACTGAACGGCCGTAGCCCGGACGGCCCGGACACAAAAGAGACCTCGCCGGACGGCACGCAACTGCGGGGGAAGATGCAAAGACATATCTGCCGGATGCCGGATGCCGTCGGGGCCCAGTCGACATGCGCAAGTAATGCAAAGCCGGCTGAGTTGTGCCGAAGAGGAGGCAACGAGAGGAGGCGTCGAGAGGAGAACAAACAAGAAGAGGAGGTGACGAACCGTGAAAAGATGTAAAAGGACGCCACAAACAAGACAAGACACGATCACCAACAATCTCACGTTCCATGCTGAATATCACAACGCCGGATCCCGAGCGATGCCCGAGTTTCATCCTGTCTGGCCGTCCGGACGCGCCAAGAGGGCGGCCGAGGGTGGTATCAAGGTAGCCTTGAGAGGCGTAAAGTACGTCTTGGTGATCACGGTTGCCCCGGATTGTCTTGTCTTCCCCTCACTTCATGCAGGAGCAACGTCGGAACCAAGAGAGAACCAACAGGCGCGTACGTTTGCGTGCAGCTATCGAGTCGTTCGCGACGGCAGATGACCACGAGTGGAGGAGGAGCTTTACCTACGTAGCTGTCTAGGCTGTGTTGAGAATATCGTCGCTGTGACCCTCGCTATCGCTCGGGCCACCAAGCTTCTAGGGCAGCTTCATATGGTAGCATCATCATCAGCACCATCTTCGTGTCGTGTCGTGTCCTCCCCTCATGCACGACGTATCTGGGCAACCCAATATACAACACAAAAAACCTCTCTGAATTTTCTTCTTTGGACGTGCTCCTGTGCCAAGCCTGCTCCAGCCTGCTTAGTATTTTGTAATTTTGACCTTTTAACCTTGTGTTATTGTAGCCCTTTGCCATCGCACAAGACACTCTGTGTGCTGCACTATGGTGCCAACCACGTTTGCTTTTTGCTTTTTGCTTTTTGCTTCTTGCTTATTTTCATGCATCAACAAAACCTGAACAAAACTTGAACAAAACCTGTGCGTTCCCATCCCGTCCATCGTCACCATCCATTGACAACCTTCCACCGACAGCCTTCCATCAACAACAATCAACCACTATCTACCTGCAACCGTCTATCCACTGGCAATGAGCTCACCACGCCCACTGTCTACGGCGTCTGTCGCCGGAGACGAATCGAAATGTCAGGCAGATTACAAAAATGTACTTGAAAGTAGCCTAAGCCTGGGCATTGTGCCCTTGTCTGTTCGTCCGTTCTTCCCCCTTACTCCCTAAGAACATCAACTTGCCAGCGAATAGGGGCAAAGATTGCCTTACGCAGCAGCCAGACTGACTTCAATCATTACCAGGTAACGTAAAGTCATCTTGAAGCAAACTATACATCTCCTTTCTAGTTCTTGTTCAGGAAAAGATGGATCCTCCTACTTGCCCGACTTGCAAGGGTAATGGCCTCAAAAGGAATCATCTGCCCTACCTGAGCGCAGATCCGCCATAGAATCAGCAACATCTGGGTAAGTAGTATTTACGGAGTACATTTCCATCCCGTTTTCACGAATGACTTACCCCCTTCTCATTAGAACAAAGTGTCGGCGTATGTGAAAGTGGACAGGGTAGCTGCTCGCTTTTTTTGCCATTGCGTCCCAGACGCTGATGAGCCACCGAGCCTGGCTGAGGTGGTTTAGTAGCTAGAGCAGCTCCTTTGTCTTTTCACAAAAGATGATCAGCATCCCCCCTACCGCCGACGCATCACTCAGGCAACCTCGATCGCCTCCACCATCTCTCTCAGCTCCCCCACTGTTGGCCTTGCCGCCGGTGACTCCTGCATGCACGCCTCCACCACTTGGCGCAGCGGCTCCGGAACGGGCCACTCCACCTGTGGGGTGATGGGCGCATTCGCATACACCATGCCCTTGATGCACACGCCCACATCATACACATCCGATCGCTCACTCCACCCCGAACCCTCCGGACTCCCCTCCCACGCGACCTCGGGCGCGACCCTCTGTCCCCATCGCCCCTCCAGATCACACACGACCAGCCTCTCCCCGCCCTCCCCAAAGAGCAGGTTGTCGACGCGCAGGTCGCGGTGCACGATGCCCGCGGCGTGCATCGCGGCCAAGCCGTCGAGCAGATGCAGCAGCCAGCGCTTGTACGTGGCCAGGGTTGAGACGCGCCCGAGGGTAGGGCCGCGGGTGGCGAGCTTTTCGAAGACGAGGTCGCCAGTCGCGGAAGCGCCGAGGAGGTGGATGAGGTGCGGGGAGCAGCGGGTGCCGGGGCATGAGCCGCCTTGGAGGCGGAGGAGGTTGGTGATTTCGGAGCGGTATTTGGGTTTCTTCACAAAGTGGTTGGAGGCGTCGACGTCAATCACAGGGAGCAGGCTGATCAGGTCGGTGGTGTCTTCCAAGTCGTCTTCACGGGGGTCAGGGTGGTTGGGACAGATTTCCAGGGGCCGGATGACGTCGCCTTCGATTTCGAAGTGGCCGGGCAGGGAAGGGAGGTCGCGGTTGAGGCGGAGGATGTCGCCGGAGAGGGTGCCAGGGAGGTCGAAGAGCCGAACGTAGCGACCGAGCGGGGTACCGTCTTCGTACCAGATGCTCGTGGTTGGCGTCTCGCCGTGGGTAAGTTCCATGTCAAGGACGGGTTGGCCCGCGGGAGGGCAGAGATTGGATGCCTGGCGCCGGCGTTGGTACTCCTCGCGAAGGCGAAGGACTTCTTGGCTGAAGGCTCCGTCCGTGTCTGAGATCATGATGAATGTTCAGGATCGAGGGACGTCGGCGTGCGGTCCTCAGTGCGATGTGTCGTCGAATGTGGGTGCTAGATGCGGCGTGGATGTGCCAAGCTGGATGTGACGAGTGTTGGGAGATGGGTTGGCTGGGCAACCAAGTGAGGCTGGGCTTTTGCGGGTCATGTGACTCGGTGGTTTCTAGCGAAACCCCGTAACCAGGCCACAAGCCGGAGGACTGGAGGGGCCAGACAAGAGTCTCCTTTACCGTTATTTAACTATAACTAATATTAAAATTATTAAAATTATTAAAATTATCTTTTAATAAAAGATTCTTAGTTCCCGAGTTATCGACAGCGACGGGCATGCACCGCTGATGCTCCGCTGGCCGTGGTTCCGCGCACGGTAGTCGCGCGAGGCGGTCGTGCGTGGCCCACCGGTGCCGGTGTAAAGCTGCTGGAACGGCATGGTGGCGATGGACGCACGGGCGTTTTAAGAACAACGTTTATAGTTCCGCGGGCTACCGGACGGTTTAACAGCATCGTACTTAAAAGTATCCAAGTGTTATTTAGTGCACGTGGACAACCGGCTCTTTAAAAAGAAGGGCGTCTGGCTAAATCCTCACGTGCAGGTGGCGTACAATAACAAGGCCTGTAAGGAAAAAGGAGACGCAAAATCGTCGCTGTCTATCTCGGACATTGCTCGGGGGCTGTGGGCAAATCGGCTGCGCCGGTGGACATCGACGACCTGGTTCCAGGAACGCATTGTGGATGCGCGCGTGCGCGCGTGGCAGCGGACAGGCAGCTGCAACAAAGAAGACGGACGGCAGTGCATTATAAACGAGATGCAGGTGCTGGTAGACAATGGCTGGCAGTATGTGTAGGCAAGTTTGCATCCCCACACTTCATCGGTACGGAGTCGTTACGGGGCCCGTACATCGGGCCTCCACCTACGACGACGGGTGACCTCCACATTCCGAAAGTTAGCATCGCCTTGACAATCCGGCCCGGCAATTGGATCGAGAGAAGGAGAGTAGATACGATAAGAGAGTAGATACGATAAGAGAGTAGATACGATAGGAGAGTACGATAAGAGAGTAGATACGATAAGAGAGTAAATATAATGGGAGAGTAGATACGATGTTTATGGTACTTTATAGACTTCTTCTTCGTTTGTTTATATTTATTTGTTGACTTCCTCCTACGTACGTACTTTTGTCGGAGTTCCAAACCAATCTACTCGGCACCAACTACTAGTCCGTGCCCGGCTTTACTAACGCCAAGCACGACGCCCTGCTCGCGCTCATGGAGTGGACCGAGCGCTGCCAGGCGTCCGCGCAGATCATCGCCACCACGAGGAACACGCCCACCAAACCGCTGTCCGGCGTGCTGCGGCAGCGGCCGCTGTGTCCCTACCCGCAGGCGGTCAAGTGTAACAGCCGTCTGGACATTAACAAGGCCAGCAGCTGGTACTGTGAGTAGGGGGGGAGAGGAAGGGGGTGAATGGGATGGGATGGGGAGGGACTGGCTGTTTAGTTAATTTAATGAAGGAAGAGTGGCCTGTATTTTATTTTTATTTTTTATCTTTTTTTTCTTTTTAGCTCTACTTTATGTCAAGAAAAGGCATGGCCTTCATCGTCTTTATCCTCTTCATCCCAATTCAGTATCGAAGCAAGCGTGTACGACCGCATTAGAGGGCAACCGTCGTGGACGTCGTGGGCCGAGTGGACAGGCACAAGGGGAAGGGGCAGAAAGAAATGACGAATGCCCTCAAATGCGGACTGACAGACTATATACCCGGCGAGGGTCAGTGTGTGTCCCTCGTCTTCGGCTTGTCTGATTTTGTTCGGTTGGTCCGTCCCCGCAAACCACTAAAACACAGCTGCCGATCCCGTCTTGGCACTGCCGCCGCTAGTGGGCTCGCTTAACGGCCATACGGGAACCCACACCGGCCGCAGTGACGACGACGTCCACGAAGGCTGCGAGCCGCGACCTCCGCGATGACAGGCGACTGGTATCCAAGTGACGATCCGTCACTCCCCGCAGTGATGCTCGCGGAACGGGATTTTGTAGGGCTGTTGACGATGACGACAGACGGAGTACAACCACTTGGCAGGAAAAGGCAGTCCAGCCACAGCACCGACCACGATAAAACAAAGGCCATGGCCCGTCGGATCTCAGACAAGTAGCCAGTTTTAGTCTGTCTGGTGTCAGCTTGTCTGGTTGTTTGTGATTTGTCTGTGATTGTCTTTGCCACCGCTCAATACTGCTCACTGCTCACTTGAATTCCGTGCCCCATCTGCTGACCGTCCTCCATCTCCGACCGTCCCCCGATCCCACCATGAAGCCTACCCTTTTCTCCTGTGGCCTGACTGCCGTCCATTGTGCCGCCGCCACCACAACCACAGTGTCGGTCCCGGCGGCCAGGACCAAACCCACCAACGCTGTCGCCCCCAGCACTGCAAGCCAACAGACCGACGAATCTAATGTACGGCCAGGGTGTCGCAGGTGTGGCTAAAAGGCGCCATGGCACCTTTTAGAACACGGGACCAATTAGGAAGCAGGAAAGTTATCTCATACCAGGAATGAGAAAGGCGTATGAGATACGTATAAGATGGGGGCTATCTTATACGGGGAATGAGACAACGGCATGAGATACGAATGAGACTAGCTGGATATATAAGGAACTGATGTCTGCCTCTTTAAGAAAATGAGACCCAATCGCTACCGATTATTTAAAATTAATATCTACATAAACGTTTATCCTCTATACCCTCTTTATATACAACCACCGCTTCCCTCATACTATTAATATTACTCAGCTATTACACCTCATCACTGTTTTACCAAAACGAGCCCTCCCCTAGCCTAATCATCTCGCAGAGACCTCTTGCCCTCCGGGATAAGTGCGTCTTTGTAACAAATAATAATATAATAAAAGGAAAGTAAGAGAGGCGAAGAGGAGCGGCAGGTGGCTGAGGTGATAAAAGAGATGAGAGGAACGGGTTGCCTCTTTATGCAGGGAGATAAGAGTCCCAGCCTAATACCACCTCGATAACGTTGTGAGTTATACAGTTCCGGCTTCTCAAACTGCAAGATGGTGGTCGAGAACAAGGTTCTGTGGCTGCGCCGGCTTGCGATAGAACAGCCATAAAGGTACAGCAGGCACAGCAAACACAGCGGGCACAACGGGCACAGCGGGCACAGGGAGCACCTGGGAGCACATGCGAGCACATCCGCTAAGCAGGCTGGAGCAGGGACGGCACAGGTGCACGTCCAAAGAAGAAAATTCCCAATGAGGTTTTCGGGTGGTATATTGGGCTGAGCTTTGATGTTGTCCTGGCATCACAGTCGCAGCTTCCTCAACTGGTGTGTTTACGCTTCGGTGTTTACTTTTTGTTGTTCTTGCCCGTTTTGTATTGATCAGACAAGACTACCGGTATCCACTTTGCCCGCCGGCACCAGCATCCAAAGTAATCTTCCTCCCCGCATATCCCAAAAACATTTTGGCGACCTCAACTTTCGCAGCAGTCACATCCGCTTCATCCTCACCATCTGCACGACTCGAGGCAAGCTTCCAATCCATCCAAGAAAACCCTTTGAAGTCACTTGATACTACTCTTGACGCGATGCCTGCATCCGACGCTCTTCGTGAGTCAAGGCAATAGGCAATGATTTTTGTCCAGTGCGCCCCCTCACCAACGGCAAAAGCTAACATTCGTCGAGAACCGCCGCTGACGCCGGCTGAGCGGACGATTGTCAAGTCGTACGGCGGTTGGACAGCCTTTATGCAGTCGTACGGTCTCAAGCCGTGGGACGAAGCCGACGCCCAGGAGGGCAAGCAGATTCTCGAGGCCATGGTCGCGGGAGACAAGGGAAACTAAAGCCCCGAGGAGCAGGGCAGCTTACTCGGTGTAATGACGTTGGTGAACGTTCCCAACTGGTACTCCCCTTGTCGCGAGCTTTATCTTCATGGGGTTGGCAGGCACTGGCGGAGTTGACGTTGGTGGAGGGGCGTCGTGGCGGATGTTGGCGACTGGGTCTGTCTGTGGACGTCGAAAGCAACGACCGACGGGAAAGCATGCTCTTGTGCAGCTTCAACGGACCCTGGACTCGGCATCGCGTCCGCGTCACTCACATTCCTACTCACACGTTTTTTCTTGTCACCTGTTCTCTTTATAGACTATCATAACATTGTCACTCCTGCCATGACAAATTTGCGTGTGAAAGCCTGCCGAACAGTACCACAATCGAATCCTAGTCTGTCGTGTCTTACACACTGGCGTCGCTCGGCTTCGCCTCGGCTTCGCCTCGGCTTCGCCTTGGCCTTGACCCGCCTCCCCTCACAACTTGGCCGCCTCGGCCTGGAACCAGTTGACATACTCGTCCTCGAGCGACGGGGCAATGCCCGTGCTGGCGTCCACGGGCTCGCGGCCGCCGTTGAGCAGCGCCGCCAGCGCCGTGGCGGCGTGCTTGTCGGCGTCGTAGCCGTAGACGTCGAGGACGGTCTTGGGGTCGCCGTAGAGGTTGCTGCTCTTGACAAAGTACTGGCCCTGCAGCTCGGGCGCCATGGCGGCGTCGCGCGCCTGCTGGGCGGGGCCGTCGGGCAGGTGCCAGATGGCGCCGTTGAGAAAGGACACCTGCTGCTTGGCAAAGGCCTTGGGCATGCGCTCGCGCTCGTAGAGGCCGACGGCGGCGTCGAGCGGCAGCCGGCCCGCGACGACGGCGGCGATGCACGTGCCCAGAAACGCGCCGTCCTCCATGGCGGTGGCGGCGCCCTGGGCCATGTGGTTGACCATGGCGTGGGCGGCGTCGCCGGCGAGGACGACGTTCTTGCGCGGCGAGGACGACGACGGCAGCGGGCCGGCGACCAGCAGCGGCCAGCGCGCGGTGCGGTCGATCATGCCGACGATGCGGCGGATGCGCGGGTCAAAGTCCCTGTACTCGTCGCGCAGCTCGGCGAGGGGCACGTCGTGCTGCGTCGCGCGCAGCTTCTCGGGGCGGTGGTGCGACAGCACGAGGTTGAACATGGTGCCGGCGCAGATGGGGTACGTGATGATGTAGGCGTTGTCGGCCATCCAGACCTCCATGGTCGGCTTCTCGACGAGCGCGCGCGCCACAGGGTCCTTGCGGATCTGCTCGTACGGCACGACGGCGCGGTACGCGCCGTTGGTCGTCGGCGGCTCGGGCGCCGCGTCGGGGAAGAGGGCCTGGCGCGTGGTGCTGTTGACGCCGTCCGCGCCGACGACCAGGTCGAACACAAACGTGCCGGCGCGGGACGCCACCGTCACCGATGGGCTGTCCGCGTACGCCAGCGCCGTGACCGCCGCGTCTACCAGCAGCGTGACGCCCAGCCGCTCGGCCACCTCGACCAGGCCCGCGTGCAGGTGCGCGCGGTGTACGACCCACCACGGCCGGTTGAGCGTCCGCTCGAGCGTGGCAATCTTCGTGTGGCCGACGGGCGTGCCGTCCTTGCGCCGCATGTTGAGCTCCTCGAAGCGCACGAGGTTGTCGGCGATTTCCTTGTCGACGCCCCAGCGCTGCAGCAGCACCGACACGTTGGGCGTCATCTGGATGCCGGCGCCGACGATGCCAATGTTGAGAGGGGGCATTGTGTGATGTGATGTGAGGTGTGTGGTGCGACGTGTGACGTGGATGGATGATAGGTCGATGAAGGAAGCTGAGAACAGAATGAAAGACGTCGAGTTGTTTGTATAGTCAGATCCGAGTGGGAAGAGCACTGATGGACACGGGCAACGAACAGGACTGTCTCTATAAAAAGAATAAAGATTGGAAAAACCACTCGCTCACCTCGTCCACCTCGTCATGTACAGCTTCGATTTTGGTGGCGTTTCCAACAAATAAAGTGGAGGCCGGTGTAAGTCGCAAGTGTGGCGCCGTCGGGGAGTTCGGGTCGCCTTTGCGGCTTCTGGACGCGGGCCGATGACGAGAGTGGCGTGTAATACCGAACTTGCAGTTGATCCATTTGCCAAACATCTGTGACATATACGGAGCTATGGAGCACTGTCTACCTGTGAGTCTGTCGTCTGTCTTCCCAGCTCCTCACCAATGGACACTCTGTTCCTTTGACCCGTGTGTGTCTCATTCCGTATTTGCATTCCCATCTATCGCGGTACAGGTACTCGTCTTCTAGTTTTCACTTCCTCTGTCTCTGGACTATCATCTACGTCTCTTTCGTCTACCCTCACCCATTTGTCTCCACCGCCATGTCAACTACCACCCAAACACTCTTCGTCCCGCACCTCGGCGGCATCGACGTCGGCTACCGGCTGTCGCAGCCGGCCATTGACCGCGCCAAGCCCACCGTCGTGCTCTTCAACCCGTTCACGGCCACCGCCGACTACTACGAGCCCGAGTTCCAGAATGCGGACCTGTGCGCGGCTGCCAACCTGGTCGCCGTCGAGCCCTTGGGCCACGGCCGCACAGTGGCCCGGTCGGGCGCCGGCGCCACGTTTACCTACTGGGACTCGGCGCACATGGCCCTGCAGCTGCTCGACGCGCTCGGGATCGACACGTTCTTTGCCCTCGGCACGTCCCAGGGCGGCTGGATCGCTGTGCGCCTGGCGCTGCTGGCGCCCACCCGCGTCTTGGGTGTCGTGCCCGTCGGCTCGTCCATGGACGCCGAGTCCGCCGAGAGCCGCGCGCTCGGCTGCTGGGACGGCCCTGCCGCCACCGCGGGTTTCGTGGCGCAGGCCGGCGCGCCCACCACCGACGCGGCTGCCGACGCGGACTTTGTGCCGGGCGACGGCTACTGCGACTTCTTGATGGAGATTGGCTTTGGCCCGACCGTGACGCCGGCCATCCGCGGCGTTTGGTCCACGGCCCTTGCGCGCAACTACCACGGCGCGGCCGGCAAGCAGCGCATCGTCATGGCCGCCGTGGCCCTCGCGACGCGCGACGGCCTGCGCGCGCGGCTGCCGTGCGTGCGCTGCCCCGTGCTGTGGCTGCAGGGCACGGCCGACGCCGTCTTCTCCCTGCAGCAGGCCGCGGCCGACCTGCCTCTCTTTGCCAACGCGGCCGACGCGCGGCTGGTGCCGTGCCCCGGCGGCGTGCACTTTCTGAGCCACACACACAAGGACGTGCTGCACCGCGAGCTGCTGGTCTTTGTGCACAGGTGGGCGCGCGGGGCCTGGGCGCAGTTATGAGGTGGGCGATGGTGGGCAGCATTTGTCGAGCACATACTTTATAGTCATTATTATCGGTCGTTTCTGCACAAAAAAAAAGCGCTCAAGATTTTGCCACGTCCTGTTTCGTTTCTGATGTCTTCTCCGCTGCATTCCATTGTTGTTGTCCCACAGTCATACCACGCAGCGACAGTCCGCTCGCTGCTTCCATGTAGGCTACATCGTCGTCGCAAAATGTGACTCGGATGTCCTCCGCCAGCGCCACCAGCAGGTCGGCCGCCGACGCAAACTGCCCGTGCCAGCACCGCCGTATGGCGCCCGCAAACAGTATGTCCCGCCCGCTCGCGTCCGTCGGCGCCATCGACCGCGCCTTGACCGACGTGTTGGCCGGCGCCCCGTGCCAGCCCACCTCGTCCGGGTTGCTGCTCATGTACTTGGTAATGTACGTGGGCGGCAGCCGGTCGTCGTCGCTGCCGGGCACGGGCGCCGGCACGGCCGCCAGCGACGGAAACGCGCCGCGCTGGTAGCGGTCCCGGATCTCGCGGCGGTCCGCAATCTCGCCGTACGGCTGCGCGCCCGTGACAATCTCAAAGAGGCTCATGCCGACGGCAAAGAGGTCCGTCGTCACCGTGCCGTCGAGCTTGTGCCGGTCGCGCGGCATAAAGAACCGATCGCTCTCGCAGCAATACGAGCGGCGGCCGCAGAGGCTGGAGCCAGCGAGGTCGATGATGCGCACGCCCAGCGTGTCGTCGAGCAGCATGTTGTGCGGCTTGATGTCGCAGTGGATGATGCCGTGCTCGTGCAGGAAGCCGATGCCGTCGGCCATTTCCACAGCCCAGCGCGCGCGCAGACGTGGTGATATGACGGGGACCGGTGGCGCCGTACCATCCTCGGCAGGAACAAACTCAACGTGGTTCCTCTCGAGATACGTCCGCAGCGTGCCGTTGGGCAAATACGGCAGGTCGATGCCGACATGGAGGCCGTGGTCGAAGCTGGCCAGCATGGTCAGGAACCGCGGATGGCCCTTGGGCAAGTGGTTGTAAATATCAATCTCGTTGCGCATGTCCGCCATCTTGGCTGTGCGGCTGTAGTAGTCCGTGTCCCATGGCGGTACCGTTTTCCGGACGCGCGTCCCACACGGCAGCAGCCGCACCCACGACGACGCTCCACCGTTGATCTGGGGCCGCGACGGCCGTCAGTGTACTGAGCACACAAGCTACAAAATGGAAATGAAACAGACCTCGTCTCCTTCATTTTCAGCTGGGACATCGTCCACAACATAGTCAGGTGGCTGTTCTCTCATTCTATTCTGTGTATTCATCTCGACCATCCACATTGGACACCAATATTCGTTGAAACCAAATTCAAAGTTGCGGCGTTACAAATTGCATTGCGCAGAATGAGTTCACATATAAATCGCACATGGTCTGTGCTGCTGTTGCCTAGCGCGAGTACGCTTTCCATGTATTTCAATAGACCTTATATGCAATTATGCGCAATTTATGGCATTTCATGTGTTTCAGATGCAGACTTCTTATTCGACCTAGCTACAGAATACTCTCTTAGCCAAAATTACAATTGACAGCTTAACCCAGTTAATTCAGAGTCCCACGCGGTGTAAGTTCCACCACACTTCACACAAAACTCACTGCTGCGGCTCAAAGTACCCCTCGTCGCTGCAGATCGGGCACGGAAAGTGCCTGTTTGTTGAAGAACCCAAGTAAGCATTTTTGATTTTATTTTCGGGGCAGTCCTCGTTTCTTTTGTTCGCATTGTTGCAACGAACAAATTTGACCCGCTGGACTGAATGAAAGCAGCCAGGGTAAATGTCTGTGCTGTGGATTCGTTGGCACATTCTCTGCACTTATTACTACGTCAGCAGGAATAGAAACACAAAAAATCAGGCTAGATATATATATTGGGACAGTGGCATGAAGTTATACTAACCGAACCAAGGGTGTGGTAAGAAAATTAGATTCAATATGAAGTCGCACAAATGACTGTACGTCGTTGCCAGTGACAAGTGAGTTGATATCGCAAGAGTGGCATAAAGAAAATATGGCGTAGAATATATTTAATCAACGAAAACACATATCGGCCGTACCTCTCGAATCGAGGGGGTGCAGTAGATTTAAATAGGGCCTTTGTCCTTTCTTAACAGGGCGTCTTCATGATATTGAAATGTAAGGCGACTTATTTGGAAACATCCTCATTGGCATGTTTTCGAAAAACAATCTTCGATTCCCAATCAAATACTCATCCGCTCGCCGTTCCAGGACAAAATAGTCGACAGGGTAACATTGCTAGGCAGCAGCCTGTGGAAGCCTGGCAAACGATGCAATGTGCTTCTTACCAGCCAGCCAGCGCCAAACTCAGTAGTGGTGGTTGAGACAACCATGTATGCAATGGAACTCTGGTCGCATTCATGTAGCCACATGCTGTGTGTTGGCAAAGGTTGTCTGTAATATATTGGACACGCGGCCTGGCGTGCCTGTGAGGCTATCTGGGGCGAATAAAGCATGATGCAAATGTGCAAAACACTCTGCTTCGATATGCAACGCATATTCGAATTAATCATCTGCTTTTTCTCATACAGGACTGCGTGCCACTTCTTGTATTCAAGGATGTCAGATAGAGGTTGGGGCAGGGATAGGGGAGGCGCTTTGGAGCATATTACCTTGCTGAGCGTTTACAAACCCAGCCGTTGTCCTGAATACGAAACCTCGAGCGCCAGACATCCCGACAAATCGACGTCTAAAGCAAACAAGATGAGAGATAGGCAGTACACTAGTCCTGTACGGCTTATCGCATGTGAAGCTCGACTGGTACATGTATAATACAGAAAGCTGTGTGTGCAGATGCACAGCATTTTTTGACGTAAAGGTCGTGATCTACTCTCTTAATCGGTCTTGTGTTCAATCTCATTTGTCGTTTCTTCTACATACCTTCTTAAAACAAAAAGAAAAACAGTTCGCGATTCAAATGGGTTCAGCAGACAGTCTCTTATGGCTATCTGCTCGGTGTGGATGTCGTTGTAAGACTGTGCCGGCCTCCGTTTGACTTTCTTTATTTGTCTTTTTGCCTCACCTTACATACTGGCAGAACAGAGCACCTTCACCGGTGTGTAGGTCACAACCCCCAACTATCGCATTGTTCGGGCGGAGAAACCCGTCAACACCGTAGGGTCGGAACACCGGCGTAAAGAAACGGCATCAACATAATACGTAAGTTGCTGGAGAGCCGAGACCAGTACAGCGGTCATTTGACGCCCTCCATCACGGGACAACCGTCGGTAAGCGTTTTGAATTCCTTCTGCCCAGGTTATGGTCGTCACTGGAATGTTTGTAACTCACATCTGTTTGAATGCCATTCGGGAAGCAAAAGGCGTCAGAGGCCGCCTTATCGTGACGGTGGGCTACCTACAAGGACGTGCTCCATGTCAACCAGCGTTTGCAGATTTCTAGCTGCCCTGGCGGCTGTATCAATTTTGTGCCACCTGTGCCACTTATCCCGTTGCAGCGGGTAGCGCTGCCCGAGGTGCGCTGATCTGGAGGTACCTAAATGGTTTGCAATGGTTTCTAGCAGAGGACAGCGACACCATCCGCATTCTCAAAAGGGACGGCGGCTTGTCGAGTCTGGCCTTGGTCAGCGAACTGCCGGTCAACATGCTAATGTGAATTATGTATATATAGAGAGAGGAAGATACGAGTGGCATGGGTGCGGAGATAGTTTAAATCATGTTCAAGACATAGTCACCACAGGTCTGGCCTAACCGGCGGCGTGCAAGGCATCGTCGACGCATGGTCACGCTAGACATAGATGGCATGTCGATGGGCTGCGTACTAATTTCAGACCGTAAGGTGACACAATGCTGCGAAACCACTGTGGGCCAAATTACGGTGCACTCGCCGTCGGTGGATGCCAAGACGATCGTGGCTGGTGGCCGGTTGATTACCACATTTGTAAAGCTGACGGCTACCATACGGGTCGGACCGCTGATTGCCCGTACCGTTCCCAGCCCCGTATAATGCCGTCGAACCCGGCCGTCTTGCCCTCGTTGGTCCGCGCGAGATACAAGCTGGGTTGTTGCAGTCACTTCGCCGCCGTGCGCCGCGTTGAGGAACAAGTTGATAGCCGCAGGTTGGTCCATCGTGGTTGAGGAGGTTTGTAGTTACGATCAATGGCAATGATTTTGGAGAATATTTCGTTTGAATGACCTGGCTTCAGTTGACTTGCTTGTCTGTACATCTCTGAACGTGGGTCTCGAGTATAGCAGCGGCAATTGGTAATAGGGAGATTGCTACTGCGAGAAATAAAGACGACGCAAAAGGTTTACTATTTGTGTAACAAAACGTAACTTCTGCACATTAAGACCTCTCCTGATAAAAAGAAATATGTCCTAATAAATAAACGTGTTCACTGCAAGGCAGATAGACGAAAGCAGTTCACGTAGATATTTGATGGCCGCTGGTGCGGTGCAGCTCAATAATACTACAACACTACGACACAAGTACATTCGGCCAAATATGAGTGAAACAGTGCATTTTAACTGTGTATTTCATATACTCTCTTCTCACGGAATCATAGATTGCATGTACCAAACCAAGGCCAAGACAAAGCGTGCGCAATAGTGCATGTCTATCCATTATGTACTTATGAGTCTAAATCTAGGTGACAATCTTGAAAGTCTCGCTGAGGGGCAGCTTGGCAGGCTTCTCCGGGTGCTCGCCCGCCTCCTCGCCAAAGTTGAGGTGCGCCTTTAGCGAGTAGTCGGCGGGCAGGCCCAAGAACGCCTGCAGCGCCGTCGACACGCCGGGGACGATGCCCAGGTGCTGCAGGTTGGCGCCGAAGCCCTCGAGCTCCAGCGCCGTCCACACGAGGATCTGCGCAATGGCGCTGGCGTGCTCCGCGAACTGGGGCAGCGCCTGGGCGGCCGCCTTGTGCGTCTCGCGGGCGTCGTCCAGGGCCTTGTCGCTGACCCAGAAGAGCACCGAGCCGTAGGCGCTCTTGTGGCCCTCAAGCCTGGGCCGCATCGCGTCCCAGACGCCGGGGCCGGCCTGTTCGAGGACGGGCTGGACCGCGTCGATTATGATCTGCCATAGCTGCTTGTGCTTGGGGCCCAAGACGACGGTGACGCGGTCGACCTGGGTGTTGTACGACGACGGGTTGAAGGACAGCACCTGCTTGACAATCTCCTCGATGCGGGCGTCGGGGACGTGCGACGTGTCCTTGAGGGTGTAGACGGTGCGGCGGTACGCGGCGGCGCTGAGCCACTGGTCGGTGGTGAGGTTGGTCGGAGGGGCCATTGTGGAGGGATATTTTGGTGGGCGAGTGGCTTGTGTGTGGAGTGAGTTGCTGAGCTGTGGAGGATGCAGTGATGGCAGACTCTCCCAACCTCTTTTGTTGAGATTCGAACGCGGCCTTCATATACGTCGTGGCCATGCCATGGACGCTGGACGAGACACCACTCGAGACGACGCTCGAGACGACGCTCGAGACCGTGCCCAGGACCAGAGCACGTCCATCGTCGTATGCCGCAGAATGCGCATATCGTCACGGAGTTTCACGGCCAAACGCTTGCAGGTTCGTCCATGCCGTAATCTGCCGTCTATGCTGTACCTATTTCGCTATTGCGCATTACTAATTACGATATACCTCATGGCGACGGCATGGCTATAAAATGCGCAAATGAAAACGACATCACAAAGCCATCACAAAGCCTTCAGAAAGACCGCCTCTCCTGCTGTCCGTCCGCGTCGTCCGTCGTTCATCTCGGCCTTCGTCCGTCGCGGCCCTTAGATCCCGGTCTGTTGGGGTGTTAGTCGATTTTTCAGCCCATCTTTTTTGGTGTCCTTCGTCCGATTTCCGTCCGCACTAACCGCGCAATCTGCACCGACTACGTCGTGTTGCTAATACAGTCTAATTTTATCCACAATTGTGGCTGCTTTCGACCATTTGTTCGTCCGCAAGGACTGTATCATTGTTGTCCCGCACTTCGCATTGAAAAAGACGCATTGACCTGGTTGGCGCGAGGCCCTGATCCTGATGCGAGGCCGTGATGTCAATAATTGCCAAATAACGCCGCAAAAGACGCGATATGGAACAGCGACGACGGAAAAAGGCCACGGCTCGTATTCGTTTCCGTTTTGGCTACACTCATTCCTTACGAAGCATTTCGTACGGCGCATACCGCTCGTCCTCGGTCGTAGACTGCCATAAAAGGGCCCATCTTGGTGTGCGGCGACTTGTGTTCGGTGACTTTTGGGGCATATAGGGCTCTGAGTTTGGGACTATTTATAATATTGGTCAGGCGGGGACGGACGACCACCGGTTTCTCGTCTATTTACTAAGCAGGGCTGCGGGTCGCAATACTTGCACCCCATTGAATTCCCGCGACCATCTGCCTCGATTGTTTACGCCCATATGGTGACAGGCATGGTCCCTGCAAAGGTGTCGCGAGACGTCTGGTAGAGCACTCAAAAATAAGGAAAGAAAATCATTATCTCCAAGTAGAAAAGGTGTAATACGGTGAGAAGTATGGTGAGATACGGAAAGAACAAAAACCAACCACGAGAGGTGTCATAAATGGAAACAAAATGTACCAATAGATGCTCGAGTTAACATATGAAAGCACCCGAACAGACACACCTCGTTAACGTCCCCCTCCCACAACTAAGTGCTAAATTGTACTAAGCTCACAGTCTTGTGAGACACAAGCAACCCTACACGTCAGACTTCACGCCGCCTAAGAAACTGAACGGACGGCAAGGGCGACGACAGCAGAAAAGACAGACTGAACTTGAAAGTAAGAACGATCAAGAGGCGAGTCAAAGGCCAGCTGTCCAGTCATACACTTGTACGAGGCTTATCAAACAGCTCACATCGTCTCTTCGTATTGTCAATGTATGATAACCCACACCCACATTTTGCAATTAGCGTGGAGAGTACCAAGCTGCCTCTATCACAAACTTGGACACAATCGTAGCACATAAATATTGCACATAATATTTCAGAGTCACATTGCTCTGTCTTGATAGACTGCCTTTCCTGGTTCATAAATCCGGACTATGAGTCTCTGCCACGTGCTCCCACGTTTGTCTCGAAACTCTGTACGGCGTAGTCAACCGTCCTATTCCATAGCAAAACAATATCGCTGCGGGCGAATATGTTGGCACGAGCAAACAGAAGTGTACCGCAATATCCGACCACAGTCATCGACGGGTCACGTGAGCAGACCACAGACAGAATATTACTGTCGTTGCCAATTCACGCGACAAGTTCGTGATGACAGTCTCGACATGCCCCAGGTTCCAGTCTGGACCGACGTCAATTATTCTTTCATTGTCTTGAAAGGTATTATGATCTGGGGGCTGTGGTTTTGTCATTTTGTCACCAAGTCCACTTCCACAATCCACTCAGCCCTCTGCGGACGCGCTAGTGGCTGCCAGGAACCGGAACCCCGCACATCAGCACCCAAATCCGACAACAAAGTGGCGTATTTGCCGACTCTCGCCGACTAACACCAGGTTCTTGCCTGTTTTGGGGTGCATACGTCGCTTCCTAACTCCCCGGCGGCTCACCGTCTGCGCCTTCCCCTTGATTGCCCGTCTAATTCCCATGCAATCGAGGCCTGCGTCGTGCCTTCTCTTTTGCCACGAGTGGCACTCTGTACTTTCCCTGCGGCGAACCCTGTACCTTCCCCGACGTCATGCCCAGCTTCTCCATGTTGCGGGGAAGCAAATTGCGGAGAGGAAGGTGTGCAACCACGTTCTTTCCATCTCCGGAGATGGCGAAAGCATCTCACAGTTGACATTTCTCTGCATCCTTTTGTCCTTCTCCTTTCTTTCGTCTCTTGCATACTCCAATACCCGACATCCGTTTGCTCATCACCTCAAAAACTCCCCGTTCTCCCTCTCGCTCCACATTTTCCTCGCTCCCCGATGCAAATACGCTTCCGTCGTCCGATGCTACGCTTCACCTAAACCACTCCATGACTTGTGTTCGCTGAGGCCATTCACTCTGCACTCTGCACTCTGCACTCTGCACTCTGTCCTGCAGCACGACCAGTGCCACATACTGGGGTCAGTGACGGCACGGGCGCGTGTCTCCGTGCCATCTCTGACAATGGCGGGCCCTGCGTCGTCCCCGAGCCGGCGCCTGGCGTCCACAGCTCGGCCTGGGTCCCGGCCTAGTCTGCGGGGACAGGCGGCACAGCAATTGAATTCATCGTCACAACAGGCACAACAGTTGCCGCCACATCCGCAGCATCAACTTGCCGCCGGCCAATCTCCACAGTCGACGTCATCGACCGCAGGCCCGCCCAACAAACGCCGCCGCGTAGCACTCGCCTGTGGCAACTGCCGGCACCGCAAGTCCCGCTGCGACGGCCGCCGTCCGCGCTGCTCGCTGTGCACTGAGCTGAGCTGCGAGTGTGTCTACGAGCAGGCGGGTGTGGCGAGCAACCTGACCGTGGGCCGGTCGTATCTCGAGCGGCTGGAGCAGCGACTGGCGGATATTGAGTTGCGTCTGGCGCAAGTCAAGGCCGACAAAGCTGAGGCACCAACACCAAGACGTAACAAACGGTCTCGGAACGACGTTGGCGATGACGACGACGACGACCGCGACGACGACAATGGCCCAGGTCGCGATACCAACGAGGAAAGCGGTGTCGGCCAAGGTGGCACAGTAGGCAGCGTGGCAAGTTCACAAGCTGCGACAGCATCCACAGCGCCGCCCACCACGGCAACAGCAAACAGCTCATCATCCGCAACCTCCGACGGTTCCACCACAGCTACGTCCACCAACGACACCTATGGCGTGCCCGACACGGCCGAGGACTCCATCGACGGCATGGGCGCCATCAAGTTCGCCGACGAGGAGGACTGGGGCTACTTCGGCCCCAGCAGCAACATTGCCTTCCTGCGCCACATCTCTCTCGCCATGGCCCGCATGGACGACCTGCACCAGGCCATGCCCTCGCCCACCGGCCGCGTCCACGAGGTCGCCGGCGGAATGAGTGTGTCGCGGCCGGCAGGCGGAGGCGGTGCGCGCCGCGGTGGGCATGTCCATGGCACGACGACGCCGCCGACCATGGCCCCTGTCAACATCTATGCACTGCCCTCGGAGGCGCGCACCTGGCGCCTGATCCGCGAGTACTTTCAAAAGACGGGCCGCCTGTTGCCCTACGTGCACGAGGCCACTTTTTGCGCCACCTACTTTGCCCTCAAGACCAGCAACTTTACCAGCGCTCGCCGCACCTGGCTCGGCTTGCTCAACATCATCCTGGCCATGGCCACCACACTCCACGTCGACACGTCCGTGTCGGCCGAGCGCCGCATCGCCGAGTCCGACGTGTACTACCAGCGGGCCAATGCGCTGTGCGACGACAAGGAGGCCCGCCGCAACATGAGCCTCGAGCTGGTGCAGTACCTGCTGATCCTGGCCAGTACCTGCAGGGCACGCAAAAGTCGGTGCAGGCCTGGACGGTGCACGGCCTGGCCATTACGACGGCGCTGCAGCTGGGCCTGCAGTCGCCCAAGATGAACCGGGCCTTCCCGCCGCTCGAGTGCGAGATCCGCAAGCGCGTGTGGTTCGGGTGCATCCTGCTGGACCGGACGCTGTCCATGACCTTTGGACGGCCCGCCATGATCCACGAGAGCTACTTGACCCTGGAGCTGCCCATCACGGACATGCAGATTGTTGGGCCAGACGACATGCAGACCGACACGGAGCCAGCTGCCATGGACGCGTCGGCATCGCCCTCCTCCGCCACCACCACCAACACCGTCCAAATGGACGGTCTGTACTACACGGCCACCATCAAGCTCTACAACGTCTTGCACCACATCATCGACACCTGCTACGGCCAGAACCTGGGCCTCGAGGAGCCGGTGCCCTCCGTGCCCTCCTCGCGACTGTACGCCGACTACTCAGCGCTCTTTTCGCATGTCTTGCGCGTCGAGGCCGAACTCGAGGCCTGGAAGGCCCAGCTGGCGCCCAACCGGCTGTCTGTGTACGACGCGCCCGTGGGCCCCAAAGACTTGGAAAGAATCGAGGCCGACGACAAGATCTCGGCGCGGTATGTCGTCGTGCTCTCGGTGCGGTACCACAACCTGCAAATTCTGTCCCACCGGCCCATCCTCGAGAAGCTGCTGGAGACATGCGGGAGGGGGGAGAGCAAGAGCCAGCGGCCACAGCCAGGAGCCAACACGTTGTTGTCCACCACGTCGTCTTCTTCTTCTTCCTCGTTTTCATCCTCCTCGTCCAAACTCCTCCCGATGGGCCTCGGAAGTGTCGAGGCCTGCATCCACTCCGCCCAGGCCATCATCTCCCTCGTCCATACCATCGTGCTGGCCGACGGACCCCGGCGCGACTTGCTGGGTGCCTGGAACTTTTCGCTCTTCTACACCTTCAACGCCGCCCTCGCCATCTTTGCCGCCATGCACGTGGCACGGTGTGACGTGCAAAGACAGATTGGCGACGCGGACCTGGCGGCCTCGTCGGCCACGATGAGCAGGCTGCTCCCGCGCTGGGAGTTTGTCGAGGCCGCGCTGCCGTACTTTGGCATGGCCATCGAGGCGCTCGAGAACCTGGACCGCGGCAACCGCGTCGTCGAACGGTGCGTCAGCTACCTGTCGCAGCTCGTGCTCGTGCCCGTCAATCCCGGTCTCGGCGGTGGGGGAGGCGACGGTAGCATCCCCCAACACGGACCGCACACTGGACATGCCGTGCCCGCTGGCCAGTATGGCGCTCAAAATCAGAGCGAGAATCATCCTCAGCATGATAGACAAATGCAGGGCCAATCGCAAAGCCAGAGCCAAAGCCTAGGACCAACTGGAGACCTTCAAGGCTATCCATCGCACCCCGGCAATATGCATCCCCATCCGCATCCCGTGGCGATGGCCATGGGTACTGGCCCTGGCGGTGGTCCTGGTGGCCATGGAGGGGCCAGTGTCTTTCCACGGCCGCCACAACAGCTCCTCCCGATGGAGATTGATCTGAACGAGTTTATGCTCGACACGGACTTTGACCTGCTCAACATGGCATGGCTGTCGTCGTGATGGGGGTAAGATACTGTATGTTGGAAGTAAGATGAACGATGAACGTTAGGGATGCTATTCGGTATGATACCATACAACCATAAAGGCTACGGCTATGATAACACGAAACGCTATTCGGGATATTGGTGGCACAGAATTCGTCTCCACCGTCTTCAACATGCCAGACTTGCCTTTATTTCCGTCCTAGAATGCACCTGCAGCCTTGACCTGAACTCGACTCCTCCCTCCTGCAACCACTGTCGATCCAGCACCAATCTCCCTGGCGCGGTTGATCCCGCTCTTCCGTGCCTGGACATGTCTCGCTGCGTTGCGCGAGAAACACTTCAGTGAGCTGCCAGTGCCGCCGAGAAGAATCAAGGGAGACCATCGTATGTATTTTTCTCTTTTTTTTATAACGAGCGCGTCGCAAATAACAGGCGTTCCGTAACCCCTTGATCCCAGGGAGTAACTGAGATGAAAGCAGAAATTTGAAAAGGGACACCCGTTGGGAAAAGAAGTAAAAGCAACGACAGACGGGGAAAAGAATTATTTGACGCAAGGGATGACGACTTTTCCCAAGATTCGGTGATGCACGGCGTATTCTGTCATTATGCTCACAAGACCGTCCGGTCGCGCCTGCCCTATCCAATACTGTGTAATTGCCTTGTCGTACAGGCTTAACAACATGTCAAAGTCAATGTCGGCCAGAAGGACCAGGGGCTGGCTTGGCACGGTGCTGATCTCAGAGAGCGAGGATGTGGAGGTAGGGATCAGACAGCTACTCTGACCAGCTTGAGGCAGCGGTTGATTGGATCGGCAGGGCACCACAGCATAACCCAGAGAAAGTAAGCCTGAAGGAGCAGGAGAGGGTGGGGGGGTTATGCCTCGTTTGCCGTTTTGTCGTTTTCTTTTGTTGTGCTGTCCTGGTATGCCGCACGCGGTCCATATAAGTGACAATGCTGCCTGTTCTGTCGAGGTCGACTTTCTCTGCTTGGACAAGCTGTCTTTGGCCAACTGCCAGTCTTGAATTCGTCTTGGATTGCACTTGAATTGCTTCACTTTGGACATCTCGTCTCGGCTTTCGTTGGCGTTATCTGGTGTCGTTTTACCTTCCTTGTCTATCCTATCGAATTGTTGCCTCATCTCCAACACATCACATCGCCTGCCTTGTCCACGACGTCTCCCACACGTCTCGCACGATGCGTTTCCTTTCCAAGGATGGCGTGAAGGAGACCGCCTGGCGGTGGCGCTGCAAAGTCCTGCGTACCGCGGACGAACGCACACTCGCCGACTATAGCGACAGCAGCAGCAGCTTCTTCGAGCAGAGCAGCGAAAAGGCCGTGGGCAAACTGGGCAGCGCGCCGGGCCTGCCAAAGAACAACGGCGCCAAGACCGCCGGCGCCCCGAATGCCAAAGACAGCCACGCCAGTGTGCTCGGCTCGTCGCTGATTGTCAAAACGCTCTACGAGGGCACCAATGTCGGCGACAACTTTACCAACTGGCAGGACTACCCGCCGCGCCAGCTCAGCAAGAGCGCGTCCAAGGTCCAGGACCGCGTGGCCATCAAGCTCTACAAGGTCAAGGACAAGAACAAGCCCGTGCTGGACGGCCGCTTTGCCATGAAGTACCACCAGATCGACATCCAGAGCCCACTCATCGTCCAGGCGCTGGCGCCCATCCTGCGCGACCGCGAGGACCACCATCTGGACCCGGACGAGACAGCCACCTTCCATGCGCCCTTCCGCCCGCTGTACTTTTGCTACGACGCCATTGTCGACACGCTGCGCGCGCTGCAGCCGCAGACCGCGCCCGCCGACGCCGCCCTGCACCCGTTCCTAAAGCTGCTCGTGTGCGTGCTCGACCAGCTCTTCGTCGAGGTGCGCACCAAGCGCCGCACCCTTCTCGAGCGCGGGCTCCTGTCCTTTGAGCACGCCTGGGCCTACTTCCCGCGCAACGCCATCGTCCGCAGCCACGGCCTCAACGGCGACGTCCTGAGCCGCGTGCTCGACACCAGCTACGTCCAGGTCATGGGCGCCAAGGTGTTTGTCCTGCGCGTCCAGGTCCTGCGGTTCAACGGCGAGGCGTTTGTCTGGCAGAAGGAGGAGCTCAAGGTGGAGCACTTTGCGGGCAACCGTCCCATTCTCGAGTTTGACCACTACCCGCTGGAGCACCTGCCGGCCGACGAGCAGGCGGCCCTCAAGACCCGGCTGGCCGCCCGCGGCCGGCTCGTGCTGGACTGCCAGGGCCTCGAGTACCGCCATTACACGGGCGTCGGCATGCACGTGAACGAGCAGTGCACGGTGATGAAGCACAACGTGGACGGGCGCATTCTGGTCGACGTCGTCGGCTACAACAAGCACCACCTGGCGCAGGGCGTGCGCGAGGGCAAAGACCCGCAGTCGGTGCGCAACGTGGTCGAGGGCACGGGTCGCAGGCCCCTGCGGCAGTATTTAGCAGGGGATCCGGAGCCCCCGGCCGTCGACAAATGGGGATACCTTTTGGACAAGAGCGCCGGCGGCCGCGCGAGCGACGCGAACGCCAAAGACAAAGCTGCAGACCCGTCCTCGACCCCGCAAACGGGCAAGATTCAGCGCCTCTCCGAAGAGGAGCAGGCCGCCAACAAGGCGGCGATGCTGAAGAAGCCCGACGATCTCATGTTCATGTCGCCCACGGTCGAGGGCTATGCCCTGAAGAACAAGCAATGGCGTACGTATTCTGTGGTGGTATTTCTTTTTCGTTGTACGACGTACACTGACCCTCTTGTAGTCACCTTCTTCGTCGAGGACATCCGCCCAGTCGCATGGAACGACCAAGCGTACGACCACCTGGTATACGACGAGCAGCAGAAGGATCTGGTCCTCTCGTTTGTCGAGAGCCACGGGCATACAAAGCACAAAGTGGACGATGTTATCATCGGCAAGGGTAAGCCAGCCCCGAGAACAAAAAACAAACAACCC